ATCGATGGGAGCTGCTTGGCCTCCAGTTTTGCCCTTTCAAATATTTATCAGCAAAGGTTTCCTATCCTTTGTTAATTTATTATTATTATTTATTTATCTTTTTGCATTCCAGACAGTCCTTTCCTCAATGGTCCTCCTCGTTTCAATAGATGCATTAATTGGCACCTAATTGGTCGTTCTCTTTTTGTTTTTTTCCTGCACTGTTCCTTAAAAAAAAAAAAAAAAAAAAAAAAAAAAAAAAAAAAAAAAAGTGGTGTGCTTTAATTTTCTTGTTTCTCAGACCTAGCAATCTTCAGCAGTCAAAACAGAGCAACCCCTGCTGGCACAAAAATCAAAACCATCGGAAGACCCCACACAAGTTAGGAACCTATGAACGAAACTTGGATCCAGACTGGTTTTAGTCTAACTGTCTGCTCACAATTAAGTCCTAGCATCTCAACTCTTGCCAACCAATACCACAAGCAGTTCTGACCCAACCCAAAGCGCACAAAGCCCAAATGGCCTGAAGCCCACGCTGCATGGATAGCCTGTCAGCTGGCACCACAATCGGTCCTCACGGCAAATGAGTCCAAGTAACACAAAATCCAAACAGCGCGAAGCCCAAGTGGCATGAAGCCCAAGCAGCAGGGAGAGAGGACGCCCAGTTGCACACAGTTCAGCTTACCCTGTCTTGGAGCCTGTCTGCTCCCTAGAAATCTGTCTCTTTCAGCAGCCAAGTGTTTCTGGTGGCTGAAGCCTTGAAAACTAGTGCAGGGAAATTCCCCAAGAAAAGCTCTCCATCCCATTCCCAGGGTTGGCTTGCCATAGGCGGTTGGAACCACTGCCCAGTGCCTCTAGGACTTACCGAGGTTCATGCTTTTCCAGTGGAGTTGCCAAAAGCTGTAAGCAAAAAATGCAGGTTTGGCTGCCTGACCCAAACTCTGAGGCAGGTGCTGGTGCAAAAAGAAAATGGTTTTATTCAGGTGCTGAGGTTTGGGAGAATACTGGACTGCCTCAAAGGCCATCTCCCCTTCCTGCTCAAGCTCCACATGCTTAAAAGGTCAGGGTTATCTTGCTAGTTTTTGGAGTGATTGAGCAATGTCTATTCTTCCTGCTAGACTTTGGTGTACTCAGTGTAAGAAGCTTCCCCTGTACCATTTTGGCCAATTGGGGAGACTCCTATGCTCCCCAGCTGTCTGTGATTGTGGGGAGGATGTGCTGTAGTACCCACTGTCAGGAAGTCTGGTGATGCTGCGTGCTATGCTCAGTGTCCGGAGATGGGCAGAGTCTGAGCATAGCACCTGCCTATCCATGGAGCTGGTGGGAGTCTGCGGGGCATTCCTGGATCCAGGCATGCCTGGATCATTTGTGCAACCACTGCACAGCCACCCCTCCAAAGTGGCGAGCCAGGCCCAAACTCTAAATGATGGCTGCCCACAGTAAAAATCTACTCTTCTCAGGAGCTACTGAAGTATACTCCTCAGAAGAGTAGTTTAAGAGCAAGAAAACAAATTTCGAAAGAAAATTAATTTCAGAGAGAATATAAGTTGGATCTAATATTGTATTTTTAGTCTCATTCTATTAAAAAAAAAATGCCAGCCTTCACTGAAAGGAAATAACGGTGCTCTTCCCATTCTAAATACTTACTCCTGTCTACTTGATGAGACCTCTGCCCTTTTCAGACTTTAACCGACACTCCTGACTTAAGCTTCCCCTATGTCCAGGAGTCCTGGGTTACTTTCTTTAAGTTGTAGAAAAAGACTTAAGGTTGTTTTGTGAGAGCCTCTGATTAGCTTTTTGAATTGCTTTTAATTTACTATTTGGTAATCACAAATAGATATTAAAAAGATAAAGATTATGGACACTATTATTTTCCAATGGGATTCTTGAATGACTACCTTATCCCCAGTCAGAAATTTCTTTTTCTTTTTCTGATCCCTATGTGGCTCAGCATTTTGTTTTTTGAACACTTACCCTACTGAATTCAATGCAAACTTTTATCATTTAATACTAAATGATCATAATCATAAATTTCTAAAGTACTTTAGCAACATTTAAAATATGGTATTTAAGATAGGTTGCTCTCCTGTCAAAGAACAGGATTATTTTCAGGAAGCAGTATAATGTGGTAGGTAGGCAGATAGATTTATGTATAATATTTTCTACATTCAAATCCTGGTCCTGCTATCTACTTTTTTTTTTTTTTTTTTTTACTTGGTAAATTCATTTAATCTTTCTGAGACTCTTTTTTCTTATCTATAAAGTAGGGTAATCATAGGAAGTGTCCTATAGGGTTATTATTAATTTGTTTAAATATACTGCCTGAAATGAAATGAGATGCTAAAAAAAGGGGGGGATGTATAATAAAATCAAGTAAGGCTATAGCTTTGGTGCAGGGAGGAAGATGTTGACTTGAGAATTATAATGAACTGAATGAGAATTATAAGGGACTTAACAAGAGCTACATCAACACAAAAAGAGCTTTAAATAATAAATAAGAATCTATTGCAAATGAGGAACAACATAGCTGAAATAAAGAACACCCTGGAAGGTTTCAACATTAGATTAGAAGAAACTAAGGATTTATATGTGAATGAGAAGACAAAGGAAAAAAACACCCATTCAGAGCAGCAAATGGAAAACAAATTAAAAAGCAAGAAGGAAGTTTAAGGGAGCATTGGGACAACATGAAATGTAATGACATTCACATCATAGGGGTCTAAGAGAAGAAGAATTAAAACAAGGAATAGAGAACCTGTTTGAAGAAATAATGGCAGAAAATTTCCTATCTTGGTAAAGAAAAAAAGTCACTCATGCTTAGGAAACACAGAGAGTCCCAACCAAGATGAACCCCAAAAGACACACATCTAGGCACATACTATTTAAAATAGTAAACATTAAAAACAAAAAAAGAATCTCAAAGGCTGCAAGAAAGAGACAAAAAGTTACCTACAAGGGAGTGTCCATTAGACTATCAGCTGATTTCTCAATAGAAACACTTCCGTCCAGGCAGGAGTGGCATGAAATATACAAAACCATTAAACACAAGGGGACTGAACCCAAGTCTATTCTAGCCAGAAAGGCTATCACTCAAATTAAAAGGTGAAATAAATAGCTTCATAGTAAAAAAAAAAAAAAGGGGGGGGGGGCTAAAAATCTAAATACAATAGAACTGGCACTGCAAGAAATGCTAAAGAGACTATTGTAAGAAGAACTAGAGAGAAAGCAAAGAATGTAGGCATAAAGAGGAAGAAGAGCAACAAAGAAGTACCTATCAATAATAACCTTAAATGTAAATGTAAATGCTCTAATCAAAAGCCATAGAGTACCTGAATGGGTGAGAAAACATGACATGCTGTCAACAAGAAACTCACCTCAAAACAAAAGATTCACACAAAATGAAAGTGAAGAGATAGAAGAACATTTTCCAGGTAAATGGGAGAAAAACAAACAAACAAACAAACACACACACACACACACACAAAACAGCTGGTATAGCAATATTCATATCTGGCAAAATAGTCTTCAAAGTGAAGATCATAATAAGAGACAATGAAGGCTACTTCATAATACTAAAGGAGTCCATACAACAAGAGGATATAACTCTGGTAAATATATATGTATCTGATACAGGAGCATTCAAATGAATACAAACACTTCTAGAGGAATTTAAGGGAGAGATGGACAGCAAAACAATCATAGTAGGAGAATTTAACATCCCACTGACATCAGTGGAGTGATCCTCTAAAAAAAAATTAACAAAGAAATAAGGATCTTAAACAACATACTAGGACAAATGGAATTAATTGATATTTGCATAACATTTCACCAGAAAGCTCCAAAATATACATTTTTCTCAAGTGTACATGGGAGATTTTCAAAAATAAGCCACATGTTAGTACACAAACTAAGTCTCTACAAATTTAAGAATATTGAAATCATATCAAGCATCTTCTCAGATCACAATGGCATGAAATTAGAAATCAACTATAATAAAAACACTAAATACATTCAAATACCTGGAGGCTAAATAGCATGTTTTTAAAAAAAATAAATTGCTCATCAAAGAGATTAAGATAAGAAGAAGAAAAAAAACTTAATGGAAATAAATGAAAATGAACACATAGCATCCCAAAGTTTATGGGACACAGTGAAAGCAGCCCTGAGAGGGAAGTTCATAGCCCATGTCAAAAAGTTAGAAAAACTTCTACTAAAATATCTAACCTTTACAACTTAAAGAATTAGAAAGAGAAAAACAATAAAAGCCCAGAGTAAGAAGAAGAGAGGAAAAAATAAAGATCAGAGTGGAACAAAATGACATATAGACACCCCTCCACCACTCACACACACACACACACACAAACACACACACACACACAATACAAAATATCAATTAAACTGAGAGCTGGTTTTTTGAAAAGATAAACAAGATTAACAAACTTTTAGCCAAATTTATCAAGAAACAAAGAAAGAGGAGCCAAAAAAAAACAAAATCAGAAATGAAAGAGGCAAAGTAACAACTTATCCCACAGGAATTCAAAAGATCTTAAAAAAATACTATGAACAACTTTATTCCAATAAGTTGACAACCTGGACAAAATGAACATATTCCTAAAAAAAATACAATCTTTCAAAAGTCAATCAGAATGAATCAGAAAACTTGAATAAGTCCACAACTACTAGTGAAATTGAAGGCATAACATAAAAATTGTCAGCAAACAAAAGCTCTAGTCTGAATAGTGTTTCCTCAAAAAATTAAAAAAGACTTCTTTTTGACCCAGTGATCCCATTCTAGGAATATAGCATAAGAAACCAGAAACACAGATCAGATAGAACATATACACCCCTATGTTCATAGTAGTACAATTTACCATGGCTAAGATTGTAATCAGCCTAAGTGTCCATCAGCAGATGAGAGGATAAAAATGCTGTGGTACATTTACATAATGGAATACTGTGAGGAAGTAAAAAAAGAAGAAACAATATCTCGTTTGTTACCATTTGGAACAACATGGATTTACCTGGGGAGTATTATGCAAAGTTAAATAAGCCAGTCAGAGAAAGATAAGTATCACATGATTTCACTCATATATAGAATCTAATGAACAAAATAAACATATGAACAAAATAGATCCAGAGACATAGAACCAGGAAACAGACTGATGAATTTCAGAGGGAAGGCGTGGATAGAAGGAGTGTTGGTAGGGGGAGGAGATTAACCAAAGAAATTATATTCATGCTAGAGGCCCAGTGCATGAATTTGTGCATGGCTGGGGTCCAGCCAGCCCTGTCCCAATAGTGATGGATTGGGTTGGGCCTATCAGGAGGAGGAGATGTTGTAAGATTGGCAGGCTGGTCTGCCCTGATTAGAGCCTGATCAGGACCCAGCCAGCTGGGGGAAGGGGCTGAGGCCAAATGGGGTGGGGGGTCTGATTGGGGGTTAGCGGCTGGGGGAGGGGCCAGGGGAAGTTGGCCAGCCAACCCCATCCTGGATTGGTATGGGAAGGGCCAATCAGGGGTGGAGCCATCTGGGGGGAGAGGCCAGGCCCTGAGCAGATCAGAGTTGTGGGAGCTGCTTGGGGGTGGGGCTGGCTATGGGGAGGGCTTGTGGGTGTTGGGCAGTCAGCCCCACCCCAGAATGGGGTGGAGAGGCCAATTTGGGGCCAGCAGGCAGAGGGACGGGCTATAGGTGGCTGGCAGGCAAGGCCTACCCCTAATCAGATTTGTGGGAACCAATTGGGGGTGGAGCTGACTGGGGGGAGGGGCCACAGGCCATTTAGGGTGGTGGGATCTCATCAGGGGCAGGGCCAGCAGGGGGAGCTGCTGCAGGAGGTGGGCCAGTCAGCTCCAACCCCCCAATCTGGCTGGTTCACTAGCAAGGAGGCATCATAGCAATGGGTCATTCTGATTGTTACAGTGTTCCGGTCTCTGTAACATACATATAGATATGCATAGTCCATGGACACAGACAATAGTGTGGTGAAGGCTTGGGAGGGGAAGACACAGGGTGGAGGGGGTAAAGGGGAAAAACAGCAACAAATAAACAAAGGGACCATTTGTAAAGATAAGTATAAAATAGTAGGACTATAAAGAAATGTTCACTCTAATTCTGATATAAATTTATAATTCTAGCAGGAAGTCTACATATTATTTTCCTACTTAGTAATCTGGCTCATATTTAACTTTATTCCCTGCTAATTGATTGTTGTCAGACAAAGGGTGATACTAAAAACTTTATTATTTGCAGACACATTTTTCCCTATGTCCCCATGACTCCTGTCTCTTACTACTTCCCAACTCTGCTCCAGTGGCATCTTAGCACAGAGGCTTCTCTACCTCATATCTTACTCTAGTTTACTTTCCTTATTACCTCCTGACAGTACAAATGTAATCCTTTAGAAATATATTTTAATCTGTCATCCATAACTAGAACTTTTCTTCCACTAGATGATATCTCATTTGTTCACTAGTGCATCCCCTGCACATAGAAATTTCCCACTAAATATTTATTAAATTAACTTCGTCTAATTTGACCCTGTAAAAGCTCAATAAGTTCTGGAGGAAAATTGTTGTTTCCCTTTTAACATAAAAGAATAAAGAGCAAATTTTCTTAACATGGAGTCAATGTATGAAATTCATGGAGTCATTGAGCTTGAATGGAGAAAAAATTACAACTCATTTTCACTAACTCCTAACAAAAACTTAACATTTACTTCTTTAAAAAATGTAAGCAACAAACAGCAATATTATTACAAGTTCCTATCATCAATAGATATGATATATTTTCATATCACATCACAGTTGTTGCAAATATCTCAAAATATTGTTTATATTCATTTAAATTGTGATATTTATAAGATCTGTCTCTTGATGATGACTTATTCTTAAACTTCATTTGAAGACATATTTCTGTTTATTTTAAAGAGAGAGGAAGGGGAAGAAAAAAAGAGGAGAGAAAGAGAGGAAAACATTGGTGTGTGATGAAAACATCAATCAGTAGCTTCCCTTATGCACTCCAACCAGGGATCCAACCTGCAACTAGGGTATGCATCCTAATTTGGAATTGAACCCACCACTTTTTGCTGTTTGGGCGGACACTCAACCAAATGAGCCACACCTCAGGCAGGCTCTAATGATTTTTAGTATGATAATCAAGGAGCACCGTAACTATGGATCAGAAAAAATAATAATTGGATTCTTCAAATTCTATTACTTTATGCAGTGGAATATCTCATTCTGAGAAAGCAATGGTAATTTTTATCAAACGATCAAAAGGCTTCACAACACACAGAAAAATCTAAAAAACCTTGGTATCAAACTCAGCGATGTGTTGTGATCTGTCCAGTTCACATAACTGGTGAGTGGCAGTTGCAGCACTAGAACCAAACTCAGGCCTTTTTGTGTCACCTTCATGGCCACTTTCATGAGAGAAGGGAGTCCACCTACATTGCCGTAGAAATGGCATGTTCTGGGGTTTTCCAGCATAGTGGCCCTAACAGAGGTGTTTGGTCCAATCCTAAGTATTATTTCTCCACACCTGCATAAACTTAAAATACCCAATCACATGGAAAGAATAGGGATAGTCCCACATTTACTTCTATTTAATTGGTATGTGAGTCAGTCAGCATTGCCCATTCCACCCATTTGGGTTAAGTCATGTCAGAATCTAAGGATTAAAGCATTATCAAGTTTGAGGAAAGAGTCTCTCACTGGATAAAAGTTGCAGCTCTTGGTTGTAATTTCTTAACTGTTTGGGTCACTGAAGTTTTTACGGCCTATGCTTTTATTGATGTCCTGTCCAAATTCTCTTGAGTGTAATTATTTTCTTTTAACCTCTGTTCCTGCAATTGTTTGACTTGGATATAACATTCTTCACTTAGGCTTCTAAATTGATTTGTGGCATTTATGCACATAGTTTAAGAGTTGGCATGCTTAAACATAGTAAGGCAGTATAGACTTCTATTTCAGCATATACCATTTTTGAAGACATGAACTCTTATGTATATTTCATATAACAGTTTAGTGTATAATAATTCTAAAAGTACATATAGAAAAGTACGTTAATAACTAAGAAACATAGATGTGGAATAAACATGTATATATATACATATACATATTTATTTATTTCTGAGTAGTAAATGATGGAACTGAAACTTGGACCTGTCTTATTCAGTTCCAAGGTATAATATATTTGCATTATCCTCCACCACACATATGAGATGGTGTAAGCACTAAGTTATAGTCACATACAAATAGGTGTGTGTGGCAGACAGGGGTGTGGAAAGGTGAGGAGAAGTAAGCTTAGAGATAAGTATAAATTTTAAAAAGAATATCTTAAGTATAATTGTAGTAACGCATTAATTTATTCCTTAAAGAATGTTTCAGCCTAGGAGGAGTTGACCTTTGGTGGAGAAATGACAAGTTAATTTGCCTACAGCTTCTGTCTGCAACTATCACTGTTGCTAACAAGAAATAGACAAGTTGGAGGCTCAGTTGGACATCTGACCAGACAGGACAGGGTCTGCTCCTGGAAGGCAGTGCAGTGGCTGCTTTTCGGGGATGAGCCCCTGTGGAGATGATGACTTGGTATAAACAAAGTTCTCAGCCTCATTTGCAGATTCCTTCTTGCACAACATCTGATGTGTTTGTGCATTCCAGGTCTCAGAGTCAGCCTTTCCTTCTTGGGCACACCTTTTTCCTACCTTCCAGACCCAGTGTCACTCAGAGACATTGAAATGGTTGTTTAGTCTATGGCAGTTATTTCTGCCTTGGTGTCTTCCAATAGCCATTGCTTCTAACTCCCATTTCTTCAGCCAGAACTCATTATTATAGATCATGGCCTAGCTGCAATCCTTTATGACAACCAGCCACCTGGCCCAGGGTTGCTTTGGGCCAAAGAAATCCGTAGTTATGGTGGGAAACTGTTCTCTAGGTGTTTTGATCTCATTCTCACACATTCCAGCCATCCCCACCCTCAAATTAAAGGCTGACTCAACATCTTCCATTAATCCATTTTCATGGAGTGCCCTTCATGTACAAGGCACAGTGACACCTCAAATCCATGTGAAGTCTCTGTCCTCAGGGTACTTATAATTTAATTAGGTAGCTGGAACTAATGTCTATAAAAGTTAGCTGTCAGCATCACAAGATCATCCTATATAATAAAAGCCTAATATGCTAAGTGTCAGTCTGTTCCACCTTTCAACCAGACACTAGGATGAGCACTAACCACTAGGGGGCAGACACAGTGGCTGGTAGGTTAGCTTCCTGCTGGGGTCTGGCTGATTGGGACTGGGCAAGAAGAGCCAGACACACCCAGCTCCTCCCTGGCCCTGGTTGTGCACCTTTGGGGTCCTTTAGTCTGGCCTGCACCCTCTTGTAATCTGAGACCCTTAGGGAGATGTTGGAGATCTGGTTTTGGCCTAATCCCTGCAGACCAGGCCAAAGGACCCCACTGGTGCACAAATCTGTGAAGCAGGCCTATAGTATAAGATAAATATAAAAGGAACAACACCAAAACTAGCTCTAGCCAATTTTGCTCAGTGGATGGAGCATCAGCCTATAGGCTGAAAGGTCCCCAGTAGGATTCTGGTCAGGGACATGTACCTTAGTTGCAGGTTCTCTGGTCCTGGTCAGGGTGCATTCAGCAGGCAACTAATCGATGTGTCTCTCTCACATTGATATTTCTCTCAGTCTCTCCCTCTCCATTTCATTCTCTCTAAAAATCAATGGAGAAATATGCTTGGGGAAGGATTAACAAAAACAATAAAAATAATAGCAAAACTAAGGCCAATTGCATTCAAAGAATCACTGAAAGTTGGAGTTAATTTGGAAATATTAACAAAGCAGTTGAAACATTTGCAGCTAGAAATTCCATGTCTGTGAATGAGGGGAAAACCTGCTCAGTATTAGAAGATATTTAACCATATATCATGATGTAAATACAGAGGTAGTATTTAGAAGTTATTAGAAGCTGTCTCTAAATATAAAAATTATGTGAATATGATCAGCTATTAAATAACCCATTGAATTTAGAAAGAGGAAAGTGTTGTTTAGAATCAGACTAACTTTTCCTTGGCCAGGATCTCATTTCAGGATAATTCCTGTGTGCTGTTCTGCACCCAGGAACTTTCACCCTTCTCGTGGCATCAGTTTAAAAGACGAGGA